TCTTCTTTTGACCCCCAAAAGTGCTTGGCCTTATTTTCAGGGAGGTCTTATTATTTTTGAGGTGCAGGAGGTGGCGAGCATGGTCACCTCATGGATGCTGCTGTGTTGCAATATTTTCGGGGAGGGCTTATTTTAGCACATGCGCTCAAAACCCCAATTGGGCTTATTACCTGTGGAGGTCTTATTTTGGGGGAAACAGGGTAGGGGGAAGACAGCATCTTTGTCAGGCTTTCAAATTTCTGTTATTATACCCTTAATAGCAGTGGTGGGATCCTGCCGGTTTAACAACCAGTTCAGTGATTGCACACGAACTGCGTGTACAGTTCTAAGAAAACTTATCTTCTGCATTACTGCTGGGGAATAACATGGCTGAGGCGGGGGAATCCACTCTGCTGCGCAAATCAGCTGAGAAGATATAAGTCAGTAAAGCACAGGGGTGGGCGGGCCGGCGGACCCACCTGATCATTTGAGCTACCTGTTTGCCCAAACTGGTCCAAACCGGTAGAATCCCACCCCTGCTTAATAGGAAAGAACTGACCTGGCTAACCTTGAAGAATTGACATATTATTTAAGTACCTTAAGTTGCAGCAAATTTCTTGTGCTACCTATTTTCAATAAAAGGTGGGTGGCTATGTGAATGTTGCAAATAAGCATTTACACACTTTGTAAACAGATGAAGGAAATCTTTGAGGGATATTATAGATTATTTCTTCCTTACTGTTTAACAGCAAAGTTACAGACCCTCATGTGGATACTATTTGATGGTTTCTTTACACTTTTGGTGAAATTTGTATCTGAATTTAATAGTACATTTGGTATGTAAAATGTTTAAAACTTAATTCTAAGGGTTTCTGTTGTTGTCTCTTTAGTGAAACAAATAGACAATGAGCATAGCCTCTGGTAAAAGTAATAGTGATGTGATGTGTGATCATATATAGATAGTCCTTGACTTATAACCATAATGGAGCCTGCCCATTACAGTACAAGTAGTCCTTGACTTAGTGACTGTTCAAAACTACAGTGGCACTGAAAAAAGTAAGTTATGGCAGTAAGTTATTTTTTGCACTTCTACTGTTGGAACATTCCCACAATCATGTGATTTACATTAGGATATTTGACAACTGACAGATATATATATATATATANGCTGTTGAATTGGCTCCCGTATCTGCCCCATTAAAACATTTGGATTAACCTTTTAATCCTATTGGCTCTTTGTAATATCATTAAGAGAGCCAGTTTGGTGTAAGGTTTAGAACCATTTAAGGTTCTATCCTAGAAATCAGGAAGATATAAGATGGGACTAGAACTCACCTTCTAGTCCCACCTTATGCCTAAAAGCCAAATAAGTTATGTTGAGCCAATCACCAGGAGACTGTAAATCCTAATCTCCCTTTAGGCATGAAAAGTGACTGGGGGATTCTATCTCAGCCCAACCCAGTTTACAGGGGAAAATAGGAGGAAGAAGCATTAGGTATGTTTGCCTCCTTGAGTTACTTATAAAGTGATAAATATGCAATTTTAAAAAATCTAACATATAAATCAAGATCTGTGAGAGTGAACTGTTATTATACAGAATGGACTATAGAATATTGTTTCCTTAACTGTAAGGTAAAGGTAAAGGTTCCCCTTGCACATACGTGCTAGTTGTTCCCGACTCTAGGGGGCGGTGCTCATTGCTCATTTCTGTTTCAAAGCCAAGAGCCAGCGCTGTCCGAAGATGTCTCTGTGGTCATGTGGTCGGCGTGTCTAAACATATGTCATATGTCCTCTGTAATATCCAGGAAGTGAGTTTGCATGACAGGTTGGGAATTAGTGCTATAGTGGAAGTTACCAAAACCACAACCACTTGCCAGGGCATTCTTCCACTAATCCAAGTAAAATAATAAGTGGTGTGGGAAGTGTATGCCAGAGGGACAGTGCCAGGGACCTCATAGCACCAGAAGCCTCAGAAAACAGTGCCAAGAGACTCAAGACAGTCCTTCCCCCCTTTAAGAAAACCAAGAAGCACCAGCTGAAAGAAAAATTCAGAGCAGTTCTGCTAATAGAGCTGACAATAGAAACACACTTAAGTAGAGCCATTAAGATATGGGGAATCAGGTTAAAAATAACCCACCTGGAACTCCCTTTGTCCTCTTTCCTGGAAGAATTAACCCCCAAGATAGGAAAGACCAGGAAGAGGATTAAACCATTAAGGTAGGAGAACAGAATTCAGAGCAATCACCTTAACTAAAGGCACATATAAAATCTCATCAAATCACACCAATTTCAAAGGGAAGATGGGTATTAAAAATCCATATACTTTATCAGGCTATCTTGTTTGCAACCCAGGAACACTTGAGCTGTGTCACTACTCTTCTTGCCTCCTTGAATTAAAGGATCCCTTTTCTGGCAGCTGCTTCCATGTCTATTTTTTCTCCGCATCTGTGAACCAGGGAAATTTCTTCCAACAGTGGCAAACAAAGTTTGGAAGGTGAAAGAGATGTTTTAAATCATTCCTGAAGGCATTACTGTGCTGTACAGCTTTGTCCCCAAGAGTCAAGAAGGAGGGTTTACAGCCTTTGTTAGTTTTTAAAGTGCCACAAAACTCTCCATTTCTCAATCAAGGGGACCATGAGGCTTAAAATTTCAAACTGGCAACTAGATGAAGTATTTATTTATTTGTCTCTATTTCTTCAAATATTTCTTCAAATATCTTAGAGCAACTGGTATGAAAATGTTCCTCTATTTTTTCCCTCCTCACAATAGAGATATAATAACTGGCCTAGGGGCTCCAAGTAGCTCTCCAATCCTCCTTGGAGCTTATTGGTGTTTGACCACTTCCCTGATTTCTAGGAGAAGAGTGAAAAAAGTGTTGCATTGGCTATGATTTCTAAATTCTTGAGGGGGAGGGAAGGTATAAAATGGAAGTTTCATAAACAATATTGAAATATTTCCATTAATTGCCCCCATCTAAAGATCTGCCCTTAGCTGAATTTCTACTGTTTAGTTTTCTAGTGCACATATTGTTTACTCATCTTTCCAAGAAGTGAATGCCGAAGAGTCATTCATGAGTCAGTTTGCTATGGAGAAAAACAGGCATGTTCACCACCCCCAACTTACTTTAGCTAGATATAAAAACAAACTCAGTGATTTTCTTTGTTCCTCTTGGAAGGAAGTACAGTCTAGAACCATTAACCGGAATTTCTAGGTTCTGAGGAGAGTAGGGATTAAAAATGCTTCTTCTGGAATCATTGCTTAATAGGTATGTACAGGTGATGTTTGTTCCAGAATTTTACTAAGAGGTGAATATAGGAATGAAGAGGATGCGGTGGCTCAGTGACTAAGACGCTGAGTTGTCGATCAGAAAGTTGGCAGTTCAGCGGTTTGAATCCCTAGTGCTGCATAACGGAGTGAGCTTCCTTTACTTGTCCCAGCTTTTGCCAACCTAGCAGTTCCAAAGCATGTAGAAATGCAAGTAGAAAAAATAGGAACCATCTTTGGTGGGAAGGTAACAGTGTTTCATGCACCTTAGTCATGCCGGCCACATGACCATGGAGACATCTTCGGACAGCGCTGGCTCTTTGAAATGGAGATGAGCATCACCCCCTAGAGTCGGGGACGACTACCACATATGTGTGAGGGGAACCTTTACCTTATAGGAATGAAGGGCACATGGCAGGCAAAATTAATTTCATCCATTTAATATTTTTTTCCTTCCTCTGATTTTAAGAAGAGTTGGTTGCTATGCAACCGAATGAAAATTGCATTTCTTTCTCATTCTCTCTCTCTCTAAAAAAATGTGGGTTAAGTAAAAATAGTGTGCCCTACCTTTCTAGCAGATAAAAACAAGGCAATGCAGCACAATGGTAATACCTCCCTTAGGCTGTCTTGCTGTGGGATTTGAGTGCCCTCATATGGTGTATCATAGAAGTGCAGGAAATCTGGAATACGATTTGGAGCACCCATGTCTACCAATCCTTTACATAGAACATAGGGAGTTGGAAGGGATCTTGGGGGGTCTTCTAGTCCAACCCTCTGCTTGAGCAGGAGACTCTATACCCGTGATGCTGAACTTATGGCACGCGATACAGATACAAATACAGCTGTGTCCAGAATTGGCTGTGTGATTTAGATTTAAATCAGAATTTAATAACTGCTGTTTGGCCAAATATTGAAAAAAATAAAATGAGCGTCTTTAGGGATTCATGTTAGTACCTGCAGGTTATTGCCAAAGTTGAAAAATCTGCTCTTTGGAGGAGTATGAAAGAATCAGGAGACACCAAAGGATTAATGTGGTTACACAACACGTAATTAGACTTTGAAATGTCCTATCCTGAGATCTGGGCCTGGCAACCAACCTGGCTGGCTTCAAAAAAGGTTAAATATAATTCATAGGGGATCCAGGGCTATTAGCCTCGAGGGCAAAATGGCTGCCTCTGGCTGTCTACTGAGAAAGAGGTGGACTTCTGTTGGAAGAAATGTCCTTGTGGGTTCAACTCCAAGTGGGGAAAAAGACTCTGGAAAAAAGCAGGCTGCTTGGAAAGATGGTTTAATGGTGGACAGGAGGCATGACTTGACGTCCTGAACAGAAAAGAGGGATCACATGCTTCCAGATGTTGGATGAAGAAGAAAAGAGAAAGAAGAGGCTTGCTGAGTTTTTTATACTTCGTTTGGCCCCACCTCTCTGTTTCCTGTTCCTGTATAAGAAATGTATTCTGATTGGTTGTCAGACTCCCATGGGGCCATGCAGGGGCAACTGTTTAGGTTGTGCTTTGAGTCCAAGTTTGGTTGAACATTGCTTTTTCCCAGGCACCCTGTGGTGAGATGGGTAAAGGAGTAATACTATCATATCTTAATCCCATCACCCTGGAGCTGAAGGGGTGAGTTCTTAGTTATGTAGAATAGACTGAACCAGGCTTTTTAAATGGCCCATTAACAAAGGTGAGGGCTATTAGAATGAGTCTGTTTCCTGCCTAAAAACATGTTTCCCCATTTCTTATCCAGGGAAATATAATATTCTGCCTTTTCAAGATTTCCCAGGATATTTCATTTTTTCTAGGAGAGGGATGGGTGCTAACTTCCTACATTTCCTTGTACAATTAGCCGGCTTCTGTGAGAATAAACTCCTGGACAACATGGCCAGCAAGGCCCTGCTAATGCTCTTATGAGATGGCCTTGTAAAAGGAATTTGTCAGGTAAACACTAGCTTAGCCCTGAAACGAAGGAAGGGTTGAGAAAGAAGCTGAAGAATGCTCTGCCTTGATTCTCTTTGCAAACTACCGTTTCCCCGAAAATACGACCCTGTCTTCTTTTGACCCCCAAAAGTGCTTGGCCTTATTTTCAGGGAGGTCTTATTATTTTTGAGGTGCAGGAGGTGGCNGACTATCTGTGATAATGAACATAACATCATTTGTATCAACCTGAGATAGACCAGACTCAGTCACCAAAGTTACAGATGCTAAAAGTACTTTTATTTTTACAGAGTTTCACTAACAGAATCTTGCAATGTGCTTCCACCTTTCCTGCCTTTATCCTAAAGAGACTTTCAGAGGATCAACTCTGAAATGCTTTCTCAAAATACATTTCTGCTTTAGGCTCAGATTTCCTTTTTCTGACCATTGTCATGGCAGAACAATGGACCATTGTCAGAATGGTCATTTTTGAGCATCCAAGCCCTAAAAACAAGAAATTGATACTCCCTTAAGCAATTGCAGGAGACTAATCCTTATTAATTCAGAGTTAGTGGAAACCTTATTTGCTTGCATCTGATTCAGACAGTCATAGTTTTCTGGATTGGTGTGAAATCAAGAGAAGACTATCTTCATACATGCATTCTTTTTATGAATGGATCTGTCTCCCACTCATCTCCTTCAAAATAATTATTTGATTGGTTTGTTTGTTTGTGTGTGTGTGTGTGTGTGTGTGTGTGTGTGTGTGTGTGTTTGTGTATTTCTATCTCTAGATTAGGACAGTGCTTGCATCTTCCCTAAATCCTAAAGGATGAACTAGAACCACCGAGGAGAACATAATTAAGGAGAACTTCCATATTTTGTACCAGTATACTTTTGATTACATTTCAATCAATCAGAATAGAGCTGGAAGGGATCATGGAGGTTTAATAGTCGAACCCCCTTCTCAAGCAGGAGACCCTATACAATTTGAGAAAATAGCTGCCCAGTCTTCTTAAAAACCTCAAGTGATGAAGCACCCATATCTTCTGAAAGCCAGCTGTTCCACTGGTTAACTGTCCTCACTGTTATGAAGTTTCTCTTAATTCCAAGTTGCTTCTCTCCTTGATCAGTTTATATCCATTGTTTCTTGTCTTGCTTTCTGGTGCTTTGGAAAATAAATTGACCCCCTTGACTTCTCTGTGGTAGCCCCAAATACTAGAATACTATTATCATGTCACCCCTAGTCCTTCTTTTCTCTAGACTGGCCATACCCAATTCCTGTAACTGTTCTTCATATCTTATTGTCTCCAGACTCTTAATCATTTTAGTTGTTCTTCTTTGCACTTTTTCCCCCATAGTCTCAACATTTTTTTCAAAATGTGACCAAAAGTGGATGCATTATTGCAGCTGTGCTCTTACTAAGGATTTATAAAGTGGTACTAATACTGCACTTCATGTGATTTTGACTCTCTGCCTCTGTTTATACAATCAAGGATTGCATTAGCTTTTTTGGCTGCTCTCATACAATTTTCAGAACAGCTAAAATATAAAATTATGCCCATCATTGTTGAAGGAAGAAAATGTTGGGCTATATAAAGTGGTATTTTAATAGTTCTTTGTGTTGTGTAATGGGATGGTGTAATTGTAAGAAGTAGTCCAACAGGATTTACAAGTGACAAATGTAGGTTAATCCTTAAGTAGAGCAAGGTTATTCTTTGTCCAGAAGAGGGAGACATTGTGAAATACTGCTTTGAGGAAAGAGCTGTTAAGTGGCTGAAATAGGTCACCAGGCCTTTATGCAGCTTTTATTACTGCATGCCTCAGAAACAAATCATTTTGCTAACCATTCAAGGTGTAGAAAGCTACCTACTTATCCCCCTCTCAATTTCTCCTCTGTATTCCTCTACCTATATTGTACAGCAACTTAATCTTCTGGGGTTGGAAGTGTTACACCCTTTGAAGGCATACTAGATTGGGGTTAAAATTGAAATGAACCAATAAAATTCTAGAAAATGCATAGAGAAATACAATACATAGTATTTACATAGTATATTGTACATAGTGTATGTATGTATATGTATATGTATATGTATATGTATATGTATATGTATATGTATGTATACATACATACATACATACATACATACATATATATATATATATATATATACTTACATAGTACATAGTAAATACTATGTAAATACATAGTAAATATAAGTAGGTGTACTGCAAGATTAAAATATTCTTTATTCTTAATATTAAAAAGAGAGCAGAAGAGAATATTTCCCCTAAAGGAGAAATGGAGAAAACTCTTAACAAAGGCAAAGAGAAACACACACACACACACACACACACACACACACACACACACACACACACACACATCCTGCCATAGGAAAACAGCCTCAAACAGAAGCTTGAAGAGACTGGGCTTTAGGAATGGAAATTTTGTATCCATTTAGAAAGACTGGGCCAATCTATTCATAAGCAAAGAGACTCCAAATAAGCAACACAATAGGCAAGCCAAAGCTGACAAGATTAGCTCAGACAAACACCTAGAATTTGCATTTCCCCTTTTGCCTGTAGAGCCAGCCATGACCCCTACATGACCCCCATAGGAATCTGGCAACAGCCATTAAAATATTAAAAGTCACATTCTTACAAAGGAACAGGCATCTCAATCACAAAGCCCCAAATAATGTATAAAAAAACCCTCCTGCACTCAACCCCATTTTGTCAGCCACTTCAGAAACACACTGCTATCACTAGTTTCTGGCTACCAAATAAACAGACTTCCTTTCCTGCAGCTTGCCTCCATTTTATTTCCAGCATCTTTTCCCAGCTTGAAATTGGACCAGATTTTTATTCCAACAGAAGGAATCTGGACTGAAGGCAGCATCTCTTTGGAAGGAGAATTGCGGCCATAAGCCAGTGCAGAGAATCTGCTCTCCCTCCAGCTATTTGTGGCCTTCGACTTCTGTTATTCCTAACCATTAGCCACGCTGTCCAGAACGGAAAGGAAAAGTGCTTCAACCACAGAGGTATGGTTTTGGAGAACACCCTTTAAAATATGTGAAAGCTTCCCACAGGGCATCAATGTTCTTATAAGTGCAATTATCAGCAAAGAACCAAGGATAAGGCTGATGACTAAACTGGATGACTAAATTGATTTAATGCAGTTGCCAAAGAAGCTCTAAAAACAACGATCAGTTATTGCAGATTCTAGGAATAAAGCTATATTTGAATCAGAGATTAAATTAAATACAGCCTGCTCCAAAGTGAGCCTGGTAAAATTAATCCATAACTTTCTTCTTTTAGCAAATTATTTGTACTTTCAGTCTTTTGAGCTGTATTAATCTTCTTACCACAGATGGAAAATGAACCCCGATAAATATGGAAATCTGCCTTCAAACTAATATTATGGGGGAAAGGTAGTTAAATGCCAGATTGTGACTTAAATTTCTCCCTAGGCTTAGAGGCAATAATTTCCTCTCAACAAGAATTGTGAACATATTAGAAGAATGTATTGCCAATTTGGTCTAGTGGTTAAGGTGCTGGTTTAGGAATCAGGAGACCATGAATTCTAGCTTAGATTAACAGAGTTGGAAGGGACCTTGTAGATCATCTAGTTCAACCCACTGCCTAAGCAGGAGACCCTACACCATTTCTGATAAATGGCAGTCCAATCTCTTCCTGAAAGCTTCCAGTGATGAAGCTCCCACAACTTCTGAAGTCAAACTGTTCCATTGGTTGATTGTTCTCACTGTCAGAAAACTTCACATTTCTAAATTGAATCTCTCATTGGTCAGTTTCCATCCATTATTCCTTGTCCGGCCTTCTGGTGCCTTGGAAAATAGCTTGACCCCCTCCTCTCTGTGGCAGCCCTTCAAATATTGCAACACAGCTATTATATCCCCCCTGGTGCTTCTCTTCACTAGACTGATCATGTCCAATTCCTGCAACCGTTCTTCATATGTTTTAGCTTCCAGTTCCCTAATCATCTTTGTTGGTCTTCTCTGCACTTTTTCTAGAGTCTCCACATCTTTTTTATAGTGTGGTGACCAAACCTGGATGCAGTATTCTAGGTATGGTCTTACTAGGACTTTATAGAGTAGTATTAGTACGTCACTTGATCTTGATTGTATCCCTATTAATGCAGTTTAGGATTACATTGGCTTTTTTTTGCTGCTGCTGCACACTGCTAGCTCATATTTAGCTGGTTGTCCACAAAGACTCCAAGATCCCTCTAACAGTCACTGTTATTTCACCCAATGTGTATGTGTACTTTCAGTTTTTCTTGCCTAAGTGTAAGACTTTATTTTTCTCTACATTGAATTTCATTTTGTTAGACAGCGCCCAGTGTTTAAGTCTGTCAAGATCTATCTGGAACTTGGGCCTATCTTTTAGGGCTGTGATGGTGAACCTATGTGGCACACATGCCAGAGGTGGCATGCAGAGCCTTCTCTCTGGGCTTGCGTGTGGCGGCCAGTTGCTCTTCCGGGTTCTGTTGCGTGCCAGCTAGCTACTCATTCGTGGTTCTGGCACATGTGCATGCTCCAGTTTCAGCCCTCGGTGTCAAAAAGCTTAACCATCACTGTTCTAGGGTGTTAGCTATTCCTGCCAGCTTAGTATCATCTGCAAATTTGATAAGTTCCCCTTCTATCCCCTCATCTAAGTAGTTTATGAAGATATTGAAGAGTCCTGGGCCAAAAGTGGAACCTTGTAGTATCACATTGCTTATTTCTCTCCATGTAGACATAGACCCATTGCTGGGTACAGTTCTAGTGCCACCTTAGGCATGAAAGCCAGCTGGGTAACTTTGGGCCAATCATTCTCAATCCACCTCACAGGGTTGTTGTGGGGAAAATAGGATATATGTATAAGTATGTTTGGTGCCTTATTTATAAAAAAATAATAAAGATAGGATAAAAATCTAATAAATTAGAAAAAAAAACGTACGGCTAGTGAAACAGCTTACAAATCCTGATTTGCCGGTTTTGTACCACTGCTCACAGAATGTCTTGAATGTTTCAGATGGATTGGATAGAAATAAAACATCCAAACCTTAGCTTTAATTAGCTAAGCTGGGAACAGCCTAAGGAGTTTGTCTCCCTTGCTCTAATCTACCAACTACCCTCCTGTAGAAGGAAGAAGAAAAACCACCCAGATCACTTCAATACTTTTATTTATATAATACACACACATACACACAAAGGTACTGTACACGCCTAACGTTTCCCTTCCCCCTCGTACTTTACATTTCCCATCCGTATTTCTCTTAATACAGAATCTCTCTGGACAACAGAGCCAGCCGTAGTCCTCCCCACCCCCACCCCAGTCCCTGCTTGCACACAGTCCCTGGCCCAGCGGTGTCCCGGAACTCCCGCCTTTTGCCACAGGAAGTTAACATGTCTGAACTGTGGGTGTGTGTCTCTGGCAGGAGCACCACCTCCTCCTTCACAACTCAGGTGCCCCTGGAGGTGCCTGGGATGGCAATCCAATGGTTGAGAAGTTAGAGGCAGGTTTGGTGGAAATTTGACATTTCTTAGGCTCCACCCCCTACATACAGTTGTCCAAAGAAGTTGGTTGGCTTTCAGTCCCAGCCATTGTCCTTAATCATGTGATTCAGTTCAATTATGAATTTGCCCTCCTTGTATTTCTGGCTAGTCTCAAAGGCCTGTTCCTGTGGAAGAAGAAGAAGAGAAAGGAACGATGCGGACAGAAGCCAACTATTAGTGGTGCAATTGTTTTAGGGAGGGAGAGGAAGAGGAGGGCACAAAGCAGGGGACTCACATATTTCCATCCAAGAGTGGTCTTGCAGTTTTCACAGTATATGTCAGCTACAGCATGTAGGCCCGTCAGCAGAACGCGTTCCTCTGCTGGGCCACATCCAACATTCACTCTATATGGATCCAAAAGAAAACACAATCAGAGGTGGTATTCAGCCAGTTCTGACAGATTCTGGAGAACCGGTAGCGGAAATCTTGAGTAGTTCAGAGAACCGGTAAATAGGCTGGCCCCGCCCCTGCTGACTCCCTGCCTCCCAGCTGATGATCTTTTATTGCCCTGAACAGGAGAACGGAGCTGGAAAACAGGTTAGTGGGGTGGGGAGGGAATGGGGATTTTGCAGGATCCTTCCCCTGCCACGCCTACAAAGCCACGTCCACAGAACCGGTAGCAAAAAAAAAATTGAATCCCACCACTGAACATAATGTCATCTTAGTTTTAACAAGGCCCATCCATCCCAATCTGTTTTCTACCTAGTATGAGTTCTACTCTGCCTTGAAATCACTGACAATGGAACTCTTCTTAGGAGCTTGACCCATTGCTGCCAGAACAATGGTTCTATTCCCTTTGTGGGTGCTTGACAAAGCCCAGGGTTGGGTTGGTCTTCAAGTGGAGAAAAAGGTGGGATTTGATTTGATTTCCCCAGTTCTTTTAGGTTGGTTTGGAAGCACAACAGGATAAGAACAAGCCCAAAACTTTCTCACAAACTGGATATGAAGATGGAGATTATTCCAGGGTTTGGATTGTGTCCAGCTTCAGAGTCACTCAATGGCTTCAGAAGTACAACCACCAACGAGGGGGGGGGGTGTCAGCCCATGATCCCCATAAGGAAAGGAGGGCCAGGGTTTCTGTGGGGTCTACCAAGGTCTTTTGAAATACAGTGCCACAGAGATAGGCTGGAGCTGGGCAGGAAAGAGACCAAAAATAGTTCCTAACCTTATGGTGAAAGTGAAGATAATTGTGCAATGCACAGTCACAAACAAGGGCCTGCCTATTAGGAGAGGGTGACCGTAATAAAGAGGTAGTATTTAGTCAGTACTTGAAGACCTTCCTCTACCACGTTTGGGGCATCCTGTAGCTTGAAGGACCAGTAGAAGAGACAATCTCTCACAGCCTGGTTAACCTCCAGGCTGTGGCTGCTATGAAAATAGCAAAAATTTAGAATTCCTAATTGTTCCTGCAACTCACTTGCAGAATTCATCCATTCCTATGCAATCACTGGGAAATAACCTTAAATGTGGTGTGAATTTCAATTTGGAATGATGTGCCAACCAACACTAGTATTGAAGTGGTTTAAGTTTGCTTTGAAGGCCTCTTGTGTCTTTGAATTTTATCTAAATACCCCCGCATTCCTGCTGGATTGACTGTTTTGGAAAAAGGCAGATTAGCCTATTAGATTATCTTTTACTGAAACCTACTCACACCTTCTCTTATTCTATTATCTTAATAGCTTAATTGTTTCTGCTTTCCTCTGTTTCAGCTAAAATCCAATGAAAATGAGAGATCGTCTCTTCTGCTGATCCTTCAAGCAACCAAAGGTGGTAGAGGAAGGTCTGCTAGATCTTTTCACGTAAGTGGCTAGATTTTTCTCAAGAGAGGATTATTTGGTTGAATGAGGTCCTCTCTGCTGGGGATACAAGTACTAATACTACCTCTTTATTAAGGTCACAGACCAACAAATAAAAACATTGAAACAATAATAGTAAAAAGATAAAAATAAAAGACAGACAGAATAATATATTGCAATTGGCAGTGGCTTAACAGTGGGCAGCTAAAGTTTGCCTAATTTTACACACAGCATAGCAGAATTTGGCCATGTTAAGAGAAACTACTTCATACTGATCTGATAAGAGTATTTGGACATAAAAAAGATCAGTATTTCTTTATTGGCTAAGGTGTTATGAACTGAGTCTGAGTCCTTTTAGAAAATGCAGGATAAGGGGAGTTACCAGCTCAGTGGGCATTCAGACATAGAATTAGGATACAGCACAACCTGTTGCTCTTCTGATGGTAAAGTAAAACTCGCATCTCATCTGTCGTGGCCTCAGATGCTGCTGCTGAACAATTGGGCCCCAACCCCTGGGCCGCGGCCTACTACCGGGAGTGGCGATCCCCACCATCTGGAACAGCTGATCAGCAGTATTCCAGGAGGCCAGTCCAATCACTGATAGGCGGCGGCAGCGATAGCCGAGGAATGCTGGCAAAGGCTCCAGCATTCCCCAGCAGAGGCAGCAGACACAGAGAAGGTGGCAATAGCACCATTTCAGGTGGGCCAGTCCACTGATTGGCAGGGCTATGGGAGGCTGGGATCCAGCTGTCTGGTGATGGGTGCAACGGAGCGGAGCCCTGACGAGCCATGTGTTGGAGCTGGGAGGCAGATTTTTTGATTTCTTGTTTTCCTCCCCAAAAGCTAAGTGTGTCTTATGGTCCGGAGCGTCTTATAGTGCAAAAAATACAGTGGTTCCCCCCCCTTCCAAAATATGCTCCTCTTTTGTGATACTCACACAGAGTTGAAGAGGTATGCCCGTCCTTGGCTTCCTTGAAAAGACTGTAACGAAAAGGGCATAGATCAAAAAACAAAATACTTTCCTGCCCCTATTAAGCAAATGCCTCCAACCCAACCTTGAACACTTCACCCAGTTATTTCTCGTCCTTGCCACTCTGTCTCCCTGTTTGCTCCCCCCTCCAACCTTGGGAGCCCAAATCTGAGGAGCAGCCTTCAGGCTGTGTCAGCTGCTTATCATCTTCTGTAGACTTTGGTTCTAGACCAGCTACTTATCTTCCCCTCCCGCTTGGCTGAAGGCAAGCAGCCAGAGACTCTCTTCCCCTTTTCCTTGTTTATTCTCTGGTTTGCTTTCAAACCCATGAAACTGAATTTAATGATTAATCAGCGGCAGCTGAGACCTGCTGCCCTTCTAAGTTCTTGAGAACTAGGGTGAAGGTGGCAGACAAGCCTAGGCAGGGTTTTCTAAAAGAACTCATTGTCCTCTATAGGCCCCCCCCCCCCCTATAGGACCCCCCCCAC